TTGATCAGCTTAGCTTAACTCACATTATGTCACCATGATCGGAATTACTTCTTGACATCCTCACCATTTCACTTAGTAAGTACATGTCATCACATGTTTTCTTGCCTCATTCACCTAACTGGTCCTTTTTTATGTATTTTGAATTTGAATCAAAGCACTCCTTACAGGTGATATCATTCTCCATCTTCACCCTAATGATTCTTGGCTTCTATGACTCTGTTTTTTAGAACATTTGTCATTGTTCTGGTCATCAGTGTAGCTGTCATTATGTTTCAATGTTGTCCTTATAAGATGCCATTTTATTCCCAAGTATAGCTACTGACTCATGGCTTTGTTGCTATATGTGGGATGATCTGCCGTTACATCATCTTTTCTTCCTTTTTCCTTTTGTTGTTCTGATGGTGGTAGTTTTCATTGTGGATTGCAATTTTATTTATATTATGTAGCTTTCGTTGTCATTTCATCTGCGACAAGTTTTTCATCGTGTTCCATCGTTTTTCAATACCCCAATGCTTATGAATAGATTAATGAATTGTAGCTTATAATGTTGAGTTTTGATGCTCAAGTAACTCTGGTCAATCAGTTCTTTCTCATAACTTTTTCTTTTTAATTTGACAGGGCAATTTGATAGGCCGAGGTGTGGTAGAATTTTGCGTCGATGGACCCCCTGTAAGATTCAGTTCAACTAACTCTGCTAATATCGGCTTTCCTCTACTGCTTTTCAACGGACTACATGTATTGTGATTAAATTTAAAATTGAATTTCAGTTATCATACATGTATGAGCTACATGTATCCAACTCTTTGACAATGCATGAGGAATGAGGTTATAAGTTTTTCTAAGATTTTCTTATATTATTTTGGTCTCAGAGAAATTTTTAGTCACATTTTTCTGTGATGTGGTTTATAGGCGAATGCTTTATTAGGTTTAGAGATCTTTCTTCCCTATCCTTGTTTGTTTGGTTCAATGCGCATTTCTTACACAGGTTGATGTTTCATTTCGTAACAGATGCGGATTTGACAATGTGAAAATTCTTGTTTTTGCCATTATTGATTGCAGGTCAAGAACTTCGTCTCTTTAGGAGGACCTCATGCCGGTACTGCTTCTGTGCCTCTTTGTGGTGTAAGTAACATACTATCATCATGGAATTTTAATCCCTCCCCATCCAAATGCTTTTGTCTTGCTGAGATAGCTTCTGGTGAAGAAGAGTGTACATGCGTATATTAACAATTGAATTCACAGAGTGTAGAATCCCATGGTGCTTAAAATTACCATCCTAGTATGCTATATGAACTTGATGTTTCCTCTTCCCAATAGAGCGCTTCTCACCTGAAAGAACCAGATATATATGGGAAAGTTTATGATTTTTTGCAGGAGAGGATTAGCACTTTCTGCAGTACTTTATCGTAAATGGTTGCACCAAACTGCATTTCCTACGTCATTCATTCAATTCATAAGATGAGAATATTTTGAAAGCATTTTGTATTATAATACATCTAAGAGTGAAATTTTCCATACAAGGACCGCATTGTTGTTTTGGTCATTTACCTACTTTGCTGATTCCCGCAGCGTATTTATATATTTATGAGATTTTTGCAGAACTTTATTGTTTATAGCATAATGTCTCAAATTATAATAGTCACAAGGTATTAACTATCGAGGAACACTTCAAACGTGGTTGGAAATACTCTGTGACCTATTTGGGACATGTTAATAATGCTAAAGGGCTTTGTTTTTGTGCCTCTGCAGTCTGGTATATTCTGCATCATTGTGAATAAGCTACTTAAATCAGAGATCTACACAGACTATATTCAAGTATGCATCTAATTCTGCTGGTTCTTTCTTTTTTTCTCTATTACGGTGTCAACTTTCGCTCTCCTTGGTATATTTCCGATGAGGCCTGACCATCTTGATTGTGATTCTGAAAATGTAGGAACACTTGGCTCCCAGCGGTTATCTTAAATTACCAAATGTGAGTGGCTACTAATGAAACATTCGATACATCTAATGAGGTGTTGTTTACTGCATTGTTCACCTACGGTTTTTACTCAGTTTTATGATAGCTGTAAGCAAATGCATCCTGATCAACAATTTGTTTCCAGGCAATGTCTGAATATTTAGGGAAATGCAAGTTTCTTCCGAAGCTCAATAACGAACTCCCTGATGAGAGAAACTCCACTTACAAGGAAAGGTTTAGTAGCTTACAGAACCTGGTGCTTATCATGGTAAGTTGGAAAATATGTATATCTTTGTGGTAACATTTCTTTAGGTTCCTCAGAATATTAATTAGCCAATTAACCATATGCATTCTGTCCATGCTAATTTTGTATTTCTGCAGTTTGAGCATGACACTGTTTTGATACCGAAGGAGACCTCGTGGTTTGGATATTACCAAGATGATAGCTTCAAATCGATTTTAAGTCCACAGCAGGTAACACCAATTAGTGTTAAAGATTTGATGCATTAGAAGATTTGCTTTTATGATTTAAAGGCCTTCACTTTTATGCAGACCGATCTGTATACTGAGGACTGGATCGGTTTGAGAACCTTGGACGAAGCTGGGAGGGTCAAGTACATTAGCGTTGCAGGAGGTCATCTCGGAATCTCCACCAGCGACATGAAGAAGCACGTAGTGCCCTACTTGCAAGATTCAGCATCAACGACGGATGGAAACAAGGAAGCTAGTCACACCAGGAGGGCAAGTGGAGATTTTGATGAGAGAGCAACAACTGAAGTTGTACTGGAAGGATCGTCGTCGTACAGGTGGCCCTTACCGGTCAAGAATTTCTTCAGTGAACTTCTTGGCCTCACAGAGGACAAGTCACTGCACCATCAGATTAAGATTAATCACTAGGTGAACTCAAAACTATTAAATCAAAAATTAAACTCTGGTTTGTGGGTGGGGATGATTTATCTGTACAATTATTGCAATTTATTCCACGCCTATGTGACTGAAGCCCTGCCAATACATGGATATATATTCTGTACAAAATTTATTCAAGGACATATAACTTGGTCCACAAAATGGCGTTCAGCATAAAAAAATATCACTCTATACCCCGCACGCTAGTCAAAAATCCCTACCTAGGCATTAGGCGATTGGTTACTGGCCCAATTAGTCTCTAAGCATTTGAAAATTAAGAAAGTATGCCTAGTCCGCCTAAATCAGCTTAGGCCATCTCCAACCGATCCGGCCAAGAGGGTCATAGGGCTAAAAATTGCCTAAAATGATACGAAAACCGTCTCCAATCGAGGACTAGGTCAAAGGACTTACGGGCCTCACCGGGTCAAAAACACCAAATTAGACCAATAGGCTGGCCCAAGTGAGCTAGCCAGCTAGCCCTAGGACGGCCCAAAATTCAAATGCCAATGGCTACTGGCGGCTAGCTGGTGTCATGCTGATGCGGCGCCAGTAGCCGTTGGATTTGAATTTTTTTTCAAGACAAAATTAAAAAATAATAATAAAAAAATTCTAATTTTAATGTTTAAGTTATAGTTTCTAAATATAAGTTGTTGTAGTCTTTAAATTTAATTAATAAATTATGTTTGGCCTATGACCATTTGGCCCGCTTGGTTAGAGATGGTTTTTTTTGTCATAGGGCTATGTTTGGCCTATGGCCCTTTGGCCCCCTCGGTTGGAGATGGTATGAAATATAGTCTGGCACTATTCATTAAAATATAATTTCTTTGAGGGTTATAGGGCTAAAAAGAGCACTATGGCCCTTCTTCGGTTGGAGATGGCCTTAGGCTGCATTTTGCATTCTATTTTTTTAATAAAATGTAAGAAACTTGTTGAATACTTGGATAAACACTCATTATATATTTGTTCCTCATGTTTTCATTATGTTTTAATACTTTATAACCTATATGTTATTTTATTTTACAATTTATATATACAATTATGTGTCCTTTAACTATAAATAGATACTTATTTATCATTATATAATAAAAAGGTTGTTTTATTCACACCCCACATACTTAAGGAACCCCACTTTTATTTTTTGAACTAAAATTTATCTTAATACACCCCACATTTTTTCCAATACTACCCTCACACCCAACATACACAATAATAAGACACCTAACCCTCAAACTCTTTGCCAACATCTGGGTTTATGTCAATTGAGTGTTTAGTTTTTTGTCAATTAGGGTTTTTAGATTTCGTATTTGAAGAAATTGGATCAAAAGCATCGAATGCAAACCAAGTTCTGCAAAAAATAGAATAGAGCCTTTGCAATCTTAGCAAGTGAATTCAAAAGGTTGGTCAAAAGAATTTCGGAAGTGTCCATCATCAATTCATCATCAAGCCATCACATTGAAGACTATTACTTTTATTGGCTCTAGTAAGGAGAAATAATGTAAGGAATAGGACAAGTTGCCCTAAGTTGCTTCATGAGGTTTTCAATATTTGTTTTCTGTATAAGCCTGACAGGTAATAGCGAACTCCACCATATTAAAAGCAAACCTATTCAATTTTCATTGAAGAGATTTTTGCCAATCGAATGAAATATTATAAACACAAACTGATATGTGATAAATGACATTGCAATGAATTGTATCGTTGAGTTCAACAGCGGGTGAGAGTGGATTCGAGAGTTTGAAGAAAATAATATTACACTAAAATGATTTTGAGGTGTATTCATAATCTTATGGGGTCTAAATAGTCTTTTTGTATTAAAGTGTGTAAGTAATATTTTATAAGGGGTGCATTCAACAATATGTGTGGGGTGTATTCATAATCTTATGAGGTCTAAATAGTCTAGTCGCCTAAGCACTAAACCCCAACTCGCCATCCGAATTAACGTCTAGCGTTTTTTAAAACCTTGATCCTACATATAAAATTGTTCGTCTAAACCACTGATGTTGCAAACTCCTTACGTTTGTCATTTGTTCGTATTTTTTCCAAGCATTTGTGCATACTTTTTTTTTTTTTCTTTTTTTTTTTTTTTTTTTTCTAAATTAGGTTACCAAATAAATATGATGATAGGCATCACAAATAATTGAACCAAACTGCTCAACTTTCTTTCGCTTCGATTCAAGATAGAAGTAGCGACTCAATTTACAACGGGGGAGGCGGCGAAAAACACAGTTTAGTGCTGCCCAATGTAACATTTATTCCCATTTTCTATACGAGAAAGAAACTAAAAGAAAAGAACGCTTAGGAAACAACTTTATATGCATTCTCTGTGGCTTTCCTCAGTAGACTTGTATATCCACACTAATGCCGCCCAGACGATCAGCCCTCATCGAGCAGCTGCTGTCCCTGCCCATATTCTCTCCTGAGATCTTCTGGTGGGCACCGCAGCGGAGCCACATACATGAGATTCTTGCAAGAGCTGCCTGACCAGCTACTCGCACCCGATAAACCACACTCAAGTCTGCCCAAATCTCACTTCCCACAGCGCCAGACTGGAAATTCGCATCATATCCTTCGAGATCTGATTCTGTTACTACTACCACAGAGCCTTCATCAAATGCAACTAGATTGTGTGAAGAAGCAGACTGAAGCGGTTTCACCATCAGATCTGGCATGCGGCTGTAAACAAAAGCTTTCTTCACCATTAAATAGTAGTACTCCTGGACAGCCTGAAAACGAACCATCAAATAGGAGATCAGGATAAGTCAAATTCAAGGGTACAATTAGATCATGCCACAGGTCAGTGCAAATCTAGATTATAGTAGTATAGGCAAATTGTTCATATACTGATACTGGTAAACAGAAATGTAAATACAATTTTCTCACTGCGCCAACTTCCAAGCAGGACCAACCGAAAGAAAAAAGCATCAAACAGCAGGGAGAAAAATCAGCCAACAATGCCAGTGCAAGTAACATATAAGTTGTACAAGTTACCTGCCACTGAGCAGAGGCTAAAAGCACCCTTGGCCGAATCGACTTTAGATATTCATAAGCAGATTCAGGTGTCATCTGTTTGTGATGGACCTATATAAAAAAAAAAAAAAAGATCAGTAATGCTGGCAATCATCAAAGTTATTTGTAATTTCAGAGCCTAGTACTAACCAGGTAACAGATAACAATGGTTGTGCTACGCCCCCGTCCAGCTTTACAGTGAACATAAGTTGTCCGTCCACTTAATGCATTCTCTTCATGACAAAAACCAAATGAGAGAAAAAAAAAATAAAAAAAAAATATATATATATCAGATAAGTCTCCTCAGAAGAAAAAACAAAATCATATCTTAAGACTACAATCAAACATTTACATGAAAATGACAATTTCAATTCCAGGATATATATAACGACCAACACTAAACCTCCTAGTCCTTAATGAAAATTAAACAAGTACGGTGAAACAAATCAAATGTTTTTTTTTTTAAACACCCAGGAATAAAATTTCAACAACACCACCAAGCAGCTTAAAAATACCAAAATTCTCTCTTTAAGTTTCTAAAATTCCGCCCAATAAAAAAGAGGTAGGTAAGACGGTCCTTAATTTCTGAGCATCATAACCTATCTACACTGGAAAAATCTAGGACAGACTTACAATTGCACCCTCTACATATAAGAGCAATGCTGGACAATTTGTTTCAGCTTAAAAGTTTCCTAACATGTCATCTGTATCTAGCCAAGATCAGAATTTGCCATCGATACATGCCTAGTTTGTGCTAAGTCATGCAATATCAGATGCCTTCCAATATGATGAAATCAAGTTGCAAGAATGCTTACCATAAATAAAGTCTACAGCACGACATGCGTCGCTGAGTGATGGTGCAAAGCAGTAATCTCTTGTAGGAATCACCAGATGGTTAATGCCGTGAGACTGCCAGAAATTTAATAGAAACGCATAAATCTACTGGGAAATAGGGTGAAGTATAAGAAAAACATAAAAGAAGTTTTAGTCTATTACAGACATGAACCAAGTCATGTTTAGTCCACATAATTTACATATGAATACAAAATAACATTGCCGAAGGGACCAGTTAATCTGTCAGGTGTTAAATATGTCACTAAAAAAGAGATATCCTCACAAAAAGCAACAACATTTCATCAGAGAGAAAATGCACCAACTAATCTCCAAAAGCAAATGAACTCTCACAGTACAAATCTCAAGAAGGATACTTTGGTGTAACTACAAGGAAAACCACTAACATGGTAAAGAGATGTTGGAACCAAAGTCTCGTATGGCTCATTAAGTGTGATGACTCCACCGACTCCAACCTCCCTTAAGCGAGGCACGTCAGTAGGGAATGGAACTGCACCTAACAATACAAACTGAAAAAAAAAAGAAGAAATTATTAGAATTTAGACACAGAAAAAAAAAAATCAACACTAGGTCTATAAACACTCGCAGGGCAAAACGCCACATGTAGAAGTGCAATCAAACATAAACAATTTTTTTCGTTTGAAGATACATAATAAACTGGGTCTACGGCTCTACGTTACATCAACTATCAGCTAAGAAAATAATTCCAAGCTAACATTACCACACACAAAGAATCACACCCCATTCATGAATACATTAAGAGATAAATTCTCAAAGGAATAAAGTACTCGTAAGCTATCAAAATTCACAATCTAAATCAAACCCTACACCTAAACATTACACAATATACAAGCAAACCCAATCTATACACATTGTAAGATATACATGACAAATAAATAAATACAAAAATAGAACAATAAAATGATATTTGTACCTCATCAACCTTATCCCACCACCGAAACTCAGCCTGCAGCTTATTCCTAATGACATTGTAAAGCAGAGTCGGGTAAAACAGGGCACGAGCTCCTGCACCGATCAAAACCCGCTTCGCATCCAACGGTGTGATGCCCCTGCAGTCAAAATCTCTATTTCCAGGGGACAAATTCCCTTCTTCCCCACTTCCAACTCCCCCTCCTTTCAACTCCTCAATATACATAGCCTCAGATTCAAACCCGACACAATCGATCACAATTACAACACAAATTCAACAGATAACCCTAAATTTCCCCCCAATATTTACATACAAACAACCATTTACACAATTGTCCCCATATAAAATAAATAAATAAATAATAAAACCCTAAACTTTTTTTTCTTTTATGTACCAAAGAAATTACAGAATCATGCTAGAAAACCTAGAATTTCTGCAACAGTGAGAAGAACAAAGGATCGGGAGCAAATTCGATTTATAAAAGGAGAAACTGAAAACCATGGAAAAGCTCGCAACTATAATTTACGAAAAGGGGAGCATCGGAGAGTAAAGGTTGAGACGATGAGGACGATGAGGATGCGATCAAGGATCGATGAAATCTGGGGAGAATCAATTGGGAATTGGGAATTGGTGGGGAATATGAGGGAACCCTTAACCCTAAAAAACAAGAACTTGCTTCAGGGAGAGGATAGGCTGAGGTTCTACTCTACCTTTTCTCAACAAACTCTGAAAGCGGACGAGCGGAAGAGAGAGAGAGAGAGAGAGAGAGAGAGGGTGTGGAAGGAGATGGAGGGAAGGGATAGAGTCACGGTGGTCATTAAGGAGGGAGTTTGAAAAACGTGAGTGGGGGACACGTGGTGGGATTTGTGGGATTCGGGACCGTTTTATTTCATTGTTTTAACGGGGCTGGCCGACAAGGAACTGGATACCTTCAAATCCAAAAAGATCTGTGTACTAATCAATGAATTCAGATCATTTAAATTTGATCAAACGGTTATAATTATTATAATTTTTAGAATGATCTTTTATTTATAGCTGTAAGATCAAATTTTAATGATCCGAATTTATTGATTAATGAGCTCAGATCCCTTGGATCCAGAAGGGATCTGGTTCTGATCGACAAGTAGGATAATTGGAATTATGACGTGATTATTTTTATGAGTAACGTTAAAAAAATTAAGTTTTGTAAACTAAATTACATGAAAATTGAGAATTGAATAATTACGTAACTGTTGATTAACTTATTTATTTTCACACACCAAATAGTTTACAAATTTAGTCTACAAACTGCAATTCAAATACCTATGATGAAGTCCATTATAATTTAAGCTTAAAATTGAAATTTTCGTTAATTTTTAGCATGTGAGATTCAGATGTATTCATACTCAACATAAAAAAGAAGGGAAAATTAAATCATTCAGTCTCCTATTCAAACACGAACCAAATTTCCTTAATTTCAACCTACGATTTCAATTTGATGATTCATATACCTATGATAAAGTTTGTTAGAATTTAGGCTTAAAATTGAAAGTTTCGTTAATTTTTAGCACGTAAGATTTAGATATATTCATACTCACCATGAAAAAGAAAGGAAAAAGAAAACCATTCCGTCTCCTATTCAAACACGAACCAAATTTCTTCAATTTCAATCGACGATTTCAATTTGCCCTCGTCTCATGAAAATTTGTAATTATTTTTTGCTTTGAAAGGTCATCTAACATATACTGATAGAATTTTCAATAAAAGAAAAATGTAATGATTTGAGAAATTTGAACCTTCAAATGTTAAACCTTTCCAGGTTTGCACATAGAAATAAGTTTATGGTCACATTTACATGATGAGATCTTTAAACTCAAATATTCTTTATTAGGTGAGATTATATTTAAATGTTACTGTTGACCCTAAAAACTACCAAGCCTATATGGTGTGTAGGCCGAGTAATTAATAAGTTAACTACATCTTTCGGTTGTGTGCAAGGTGTGCCAACTCGTCGGTCGAGTTCCGCCAGGGAGTAAAATATGTTGATGTGGCGTTGGGCGTGCTGCTGACTTCTCAATCTTGCAACTGCGGTCGAGGAAGGAACACGTCTCAGCCTTCGGGTTCTAGAGCCTAAAGACAAGGCTGCTAGTTTCTTTGAAGTTCACAAATCGTTGGCGCCGAGTTCGGTCTCTGTAATTATATTCGCGAGAGTATAAGTAAGCTGAATTGGTGCCACTGTACGGACACAAATACTCGAAAGAGATAAATTTCTTGATTGTAAATGTGATTTGGCCGTCTGAATGCCGAACTCAAAAATGTACTTGCGAGTACCCAATCATAAAATAAAACTCGGCTTTCAATGTGTCGAGCCTAGCAACTTGATAACACCTCACTTCGCCGAGAAGGCTGATGAGATAACCTCTACCAATAAGGACTCAAAAATCCTTGTTGACCGAGACTTGGATAAATAACCAGTTGGTCTTGAAGCAATGTTGTCTATCCAAATTGAAGATGTCGCCGGTTGCCTTCACATTGCTGTTTATCCAAACTGAAGATGTGTTAGCCAGAAGAAAGGAGGACAGGAAAAAATCTCAGGGTTGTTGAGAAGCATTGCGCAGGGCAATTTGTTTATTGATTTGAAAGGGCTTTGCATGATGCACTCCCTTCTCTATTTATAGTAGCGAACCCCCTTATGGCCGAACTAGAAATTTACTTGGATTAGAACTCCTCAACCCAATCTGATAAGGTTTCGGCCAATCCTAACCCCTATAGGACTTTGAACCAATCTCCTTAATGAACCAGATTCATCCCCTAATTCTAAGTATCCTTAGCTTTAAGACTCCTTATTGCACTAGGGTTCGACTACCTCACCCTTATCTAAACCAATCCTCTTCACAATAGGATTCGCCCAACCTTGACTGGACAGCTCATGACAAGATTCTAGATGAATGTTATTGGCCCAAACAGTTGCCTAACTAAAATTACATAAAAGAATGGAACAAGATCTTATTTAGATCTTCTTTGTGAAGATCCTACAGATCAATTCATCATATCCAGTTATCAATCATCTTGCGGTCATAATTTTTTTTATTTAAAATTGAATACAAACAGTACTTAATAAAAGCTGACAACACGATATATGATCAATGACTAAGATGAATTGATCTTTAGGATTCTCACAAGGAGGATGATCCTCATCCTAAAGGAATGTAAGATATCTCACTTTCAGCGTTGAAGCTCGAAAGTTGCATGAAAACTTTTAGTTCTTAGATGCAAACAGAAATTTAATTTAAATGATAATTTAAGTTGCTTGACTAGGGGAAAAAGAAACAAAAAGATTTGGATAATTGATAGGAAAAAACCAAAAGAAGAATTGACAGCTCAAACAATATATATGGGTTCTATTTATATACAAAAATATTATAATATCCATTGCATCGCATGTACTTTGGTCTTGTCATAATGTTTTTAAACAAACGCTTGTACCATTCAAAACAAAGAAAATTAATTAAAATCTAATCCTCTTCTGAAATTACTAAAAAAAAATTTGGGAAGAAAAAAAAAAAGGCTAGTCAACAATGGCAACGGTTATGAGGTGCAACAATGGTATTAGGCTACTAGCATCATTGACTCGTAAAGCCTGACGGCGAAAAAGACTTACATAAAACGAGTATACAAAAATAAAATTATTTTAAATTAGTTAGCGATATGATTAAAACTTGACGACATGTAATCAGTTTAGAATGCCACAATAGGTGTAAGTATATCCTTATCCAATTAGAAAGGCGTTGCACTTGTGAAACTCTAAAAATTGCAATTGGAACAGTATTTTAAAAACAGAAAAAAGGCAATTTAAATCGAATTATTTTTCATTTTTTGGTAGTTTGAACAAGAAAAAAACAATTTCGTAGTTTTTTTTTTTTGTCAAAAAGATAGATTTAGTTAGATTTGCAACTGACGAGATTTAAACTCACACCGTCATGCAATGGCTCAACACTTTTCCACTACTGGTAAAAAACCACTTGCAACAATTTTGTAGTTTGGTCATAATATTTAAACCCTAAGAATAGCGATTCGTACCAAATCAGTCGAAAACTAAAACTAAAATCTAATCTTATAACTACTAAAATCCAGAATGATTAGTCTCATGCATTTAATGACTTTCATTCCATACATTTTCTTTCTTTCTTTTTTTGTGAAAGATTCACTACACTTTCTACCTTTCAATTTCACCAAAAAAAAAAAAGAAAAATGCAACGCATTTATATGTTGAGTCATTACGGGTACATCGGCTACCTATTCCTAGTAAGGTAAGGAGAACCCATAAGGAAAGAAAGATGGAATCATGAGAAAATGGTAAATTTTTATGCAAATTTTAGATCTACTAAAAGCAGAAATAATGTTAAAAACAATCGTTCGTATGAACGGATTACACAACTACCCTAATCCTAGTGTAAATGGTAAAGATAAGGATTGGATCCTCTCCTGAGCCCAAGAGAGAATCCTCCTGATCAAGACACGTGAGCTGTTAAATGAAAATTCAACAGCTATAATTATTATAACTTTAAAGGAACCTCCTTATTTGTAGCCGTTGGATAAAAATTTAACGGTCCACGTGTCTTAGTCAGGAGGATCCTCTCCTTGAGCTCAGGAGATGATCCAAATCCTAAAGATAACTCCTAGCGAAAGAAAAGGGAACAAGATTAGGTTATGTGTTGATTGCTTACCACCTTTAATGATATGAACAATCACTTACTCAGTGGCTTAAGCTTGATGGGTCACTCTCGAGTCTCAAACCATTGATGTATTGTTGACTCTTTGTATGACTCATTCGTCCACATCATCATTTACCATTTGCCTGAAGGAAAAAAAATTACTTTTTACTAAGTAATTTTTTTAGGTCATTATTATGATATAAAAGTAGTTAAAAATTTAAGGAATTTTGAAATGGTATAACTACTGCAACTTCAAACTTAGGACAATTTAGGATACTCATTTCCAAATGTTGCTAGAAACGCTTTCCCTTTTTTTTTTTCTTCCTTCCTTCGTGAATAAAGCTTCATTCATGAAAAGAGAAATACAATTTGTGCTAGAAAGGTCTAAACTTAAATAAAACACAAAATCCTACACAACAAAGCAATATAAAACAGAAGACAGGCCCAAAAGGAGAGCTACAACCCAAGCAACAAAGGAGGCCTACACAGAATTAGGCTCGTAGGCAACAAAAGAAAATATAAACAGCAAAACCCTACTTCCTAGTAGCTAAAAATCAGTCGCCATCGCCGCTACCAATGTTAAGGAAGACATCACGAAACTTTAAAATGCACCTGAACCAAAACCTAGATCTAAGAGTATTGCACATAATCAATCCACCAAGAACCAAAGTCTCCACAGCCACACCTGCAAGAGAAGTCACAAAATGTAATAGGAGGAGGGGGAGGGTGAAGCGGGTGTGTAAAACACCCTTGTTCCGATGTGAATTATTCCACACTTTACCCAATCGGAACGAATTCACTGTTTAATGCTTTTAATTTCGTATAAATAAATAAATAAATCTACCACCAGTATTCACCTAGGACATTATAGATGCACCTTTATAAGAAACAAGTTAAAAGTAAGTCTCTTTTTAGTCAACATCAGAAGCCAACCATTTTTTCACATAATCAACTAAAGCACTTTTAACCCTGTTCGTTAGGAAAAAAACCTAAAAAAGTTTTTTTTTTTTCCTAAGAAGAAGAACTTGCATTATTATTATTATTAGAAAAAA